TTCTTGTTTTATTATAAGTTTTATAATAAAATCTATTATTTAAAACATAAACTATTATGCTATTGCAAGAAACAAAAAATCTCATTTTCAAGTTACGGAATTATATGCTAACATTTTACTTACGTACCTATTCCTTTCAAATTAATGTTAAATAGTCTTATATGATTCAAATAAGCAAAAAATACTCTAAAACTAAACCTTATTACACTAATTAGAACTTATTTTAACATAATAAATCTAATAAGAATGAGATTTCATATTTACAACAATTATTCATAATACGCTAAAATGACATTGTCCCTATATTAATACACACGTTACTCGAAGATAAGTTTTCCGTCGCCGACAGTCTTTGAATCCACTTTGTAATTTAAAATCTATTCCGTAATTTCCTTATGCTGGTACTAGAGTATCTGCTTTTCTTCTACTATAAAACGAAATTGAATTTTACGTTAATTGGATATAGGTAGTCTTATGTTATATTTTTAATGTAAACCCATTATGAGGTGTATATTTTATGGTATAAATGAAGTGAGTGAGGGTGTAATATATGTATATTATCACCTCCAGGTAAATTTCTAAGAAATTATTAAATTACTAAGACATCTATTGTTAACTGTAACGCCGGCGTGTCCGCGGTTGTGGAGGGACTAATATTATAAAGAGGTAAAGTTTGTGAGATTGTGAGTTTGTGACTTCTTAGGGGGTAATTTCTGGATCTACTGAGCCGATTTAGATGAAATTTGGTAAGAAGATAGTTTGAAACCCTGGAAAGGACATAGAATACTTTTTATTTCGAAAATCGTCCCTTAAGGGGATGAAAATGGGAATGACAGTTTATACGGGGTATCAAGCTAGGGACGAACCCGAGCGAAGCGAGGGAGTGTTGCTAGTATTTTAAACTTTGCATGTTAAAAAGTAATGTAAAATCGGTTTTCTAGTTATTTTAAGTGAGGATTATTTTGCCTACATTTTGGTATATAGACTGCCTTGTTGGTCTAGTATCTAGCATGTACGGCAGATCCGAAAGTTCTGACTTCGAGTCCCAGTTTGGGAAGTGTAGTTATTTGCTTTTTGGAAACAACTTGGAGTTGAAATTTGGCAGTATTACATGTGCCTTGTGGAACACGTCAGGAACTCCTGATCTCTCACCGGTCGTGTCAAATTGTCGTCTCACCAGAGTACGATATGTGCTTATGTTGGTGCGCATACTTGTATATAATTAATACATTCTTTATTACACTTTTCAGGGTTTCATAGCCACATGTTACCGGAACCCCTATTTCTAAGTTTCAAGATAGCTAGTAAAAGAGTGATAAAAAGTTATGAAAAATTGCAACTCTAATTGTTCTAAGCTAGAAAAATATACATAGCTCATACGCTTTGTTATGGACCAATCGTGCTCTTTTCTACTGATTCAAACTTCAAACATTTAGAATTAACTAAAATTAATATATTCCGTTTCAGCTTCATATTATTCATATTCACTTCAATATAAGTTATATTATAAGTGAAAGCATAAATGATAGAGAGATACTTATAAAAGTTAATATGAAATATGAATGATCGTGTCTTCATAGGGTCAAGTGCGCCCACTCGACATGATTCAATTAAAGCGACTACAAACGCTTTGAACTTGGTACCTTTTAATTTTTTATATCATATTATATTTATAGATGCTATTTACCAATATAATTATATCGTCTATAAGTGTTATACTAGCTAGCAGTGTATTTGTTTGTGTTTCTGTGTGTGTGTTTTTTTCTTTTGGAACGGCTTACCTTTGCTAAAATTTCACCCTTCGCCACTGCTAACTATTGGTTCTAGGTTAATTTTGCGGCTTTATAGCTTACTAGCGATTCACCCTCGCTTCACTCAGGTATATTATATATATATATATATATATATATATATATATATATATATATATATATATATATATATATATAGTATAGAATAGATTGATTAATGATTGATTCCCAATACAAGCTTCCACCCCCCTTAAAAACTTATAATATAATAAAAACTATCTTATGCCCTTCCCAGGATCTTAAACTAACGAATTTCATCTAAATTGGTTCAGCGGATTAAGCAACAGACCAAACCAAAGGCAACAGACAGATTGACAGATAGACAGACAAAATTACTTTCGCATTTATAATATTAGTATGGATATTGCTACGTAGCTAACACAAAATAACTGTTCTTCTGTTTGATTAAATAATATTTATTTATTTTTTATCGTTATTTTTTTTTCTAAGCACTAGGAACGTTTATGTAATATTTATTGTAAGGAATATTAAAAAAAATATGTCCATATTATAACACAATATAATGTGTGAATATTCGTCATTGAATTACTATTACGTATATGCATGTTATGTGTGTATGTGCACGAGTATGTATGTTTGTTACTCCTTTACGCTGAAACGGCTGACCCGATTTGGATAAAATTAATACGCGGATAAACTATGAGCTGTTTTGTATCCGACTACGCAATGCAAAAGAGTATGTATGTATGTTCCTTTGTGGCGTTCTCTAGAACAAACGCGTGGGCCGATTTTGACGATTCATATGCCGTTAAATTCGTCTTGATAACGGGAGTGTCATAGGCTATATAAAAAATAGTTAAAAAGTAAAATGGCATATTTCAGACGTCAATTTGTAGTAGAGAGTCGACCTGCGATAAAAATGGCTACTGTTAAGTAAGGACGGACCTGAGCGTAACAAAAGTAAGTCTTTCATTTAATAACTTTAAAATATTCATTCTTCAACTTATAGTTTGTAGGAAATTCAAATTTATTATTATTTTGGTCCAGTAGTTCTACTTGTATGTTTTCTATTAGTTTGTTAGTTAAAGAAGCCTTATATGCTAAAAGATAATGTAATTTAGAACAGAAATATTTCTAGTATGGATCGCTGTTGAAATTTCAACATTTTATTACTGTACGGTGTATTTGGATAGCGTTATTAAAGCTATGGAATGTTTGAAGCAATTAGCAACAATTTTAATTAGCTATTTTTGGTGTTTGATGTCAGTAATAAAACATTATATTTAGTCATATGCTTATATTGTCTCTGTATATTAATATTAATATTATAAATGTGAAAGTAAGTCTGTCTATTAAACTCTCACGCTTAAACCGCTGAACAGATTTCGATAAAATTTGGCAAGGATTACATTCTAGGGATGGAGATAGGCTACCTTTGATCCCCAATTACGAGTACCATGCGAACAAATCCGCGGGGGAAAACTTGTAATATGATAAAGATTTCATTTTTTGACCGACTTTACAAAGAGGAGGTAATCAATGCGTGTGTTATATTTTTTGTATGTACGTTACTCGATATTTTCACTAATTTTGAATCAATTTTTTTTACAGAATTTATATAACCTCAAGGGTAGTGTCATATTAATTTAAAAAAATACTACGAATAAGAGAATAATTGATTTTAAATCGATTTTTAAGTTCATGTTTACGTTTAAGCTAAAAATTATCAATTATTAAAATTACTATCTACCTATTTGTGCGCGCAACATTTTAAAGGTAAATACAGTTTTTTTTATATGTAGTTTTCTTTTTAGTAACAAAATAGAGTTAAGTTTAATTTCAATTAAGCCAACGTTTATTTGTGTTATTATAATAAGTTCATGAATATAAAAGTTATTTCAATTTAAAGAACCACCAAGTGACGAACCCGAGTGAAGCGGGGGTGAGTCACTAGTCACTAATAGTAATGTAGAGATTGGGAATATACAGGGTCATTTTTAATTTACGGAAAACCTTTTGGGACCCTTTATAACAACAACATCTGTAACAAGAGAAAATAATATATCTTAAATTTTTATTTTCATACAAAAATAAAAATATTTTTTTTGCACCTTCTAAACTTTAAAGTTCTAGCATCTGGCCAAGTTTAAATGAGTAAGTGCGGCTTCCTACACCCCTCCACCCTTCCCCTCCACCGAACACGCACTTTCTTTTGCTAATGCTGGACTATTACCGTTTAGAAGGTGCAATAAAAATATTTTTATTTTAGTTAAATTTAAGATATATTATTTTTTTTTTCTTACAAATGTTGTTGTTATGTTGTAAATAGTGTATTCCCAAAAGGTTTCCAGTAAATTAAAAATGACCCGTATAGAGTTTATTTGGATTCAGGTTGATTAAAAGGCGTATTTCGTTTGCTTTTGGAGTCTTACTTAAATAGCGTAGCGTTTTATGACGTTGTTTCCAGACGTAATGGGTTTAATGACTGATCCTACCTTTAGCTATCGTAAATGTTTTGTTGTTGAAAGCTCTACAATCTACGTGCACTAGAAATGTATAAAAGCTCTAAAAGTTCATTTATTTTTGTATTATTTAAGTTGTGACTTAATAATATATATGAGGTTGAAGTGTAGAAGTAGTGGATATCTCATTTATATTTTGAAAATGTGCTTTATACTTCACAATTTATTTTATAGAATCACTACATAAGAAATATAATAACAATTGTAAGGGCAAGGTAAGTTTAACAACTAAATTGATCTCTCATAGGCCTGGCGATAAACATTATATTTTAGTCATATGCTAATAGCTTTGTACTTAATACTAATTATTATATATACATAGATGTGAAAGTAACTCTGTCTGTTAAATTCTCACACTTAAACCGCTGAACAGATTTCGATAAAATTTTGCAAGGACATCTATAGCATTTTAGAGATGGAAATAGGCTACTTTGGTCCCCTTTTGGGAAGTAAAACTAGTAATGTGATAATGACCGCAGCTTTTAACTGACCTTATAAAGGAAGAGCGAATGCGAATATAATTGCTTAATGCTTAAGGACTTATTCTACCACGGACATAAATCTAAATATGTCCGTCATCATGCCCAATTTTAATCAAAATCTCTCCAGTGATATTCTCGTATTTAAATAAGATTTACCAAAAATATTTAAAATACAAATTCGACTCAGTTAGAGTTTTATTATATGTATAGCTTAGTATTCTTACCTTTTATTTCTACTCCAAATAAAAATAAAAATCCAGCTACCGCTGAGTGACTGCTATCTGAAACAATTTGTGTAATTTATATTCTTAATCTTTTGAAATACAAGCAATTAATGATACAATAAGCAGATATGTTTATTAAAACAGACCTATTTAATATTTATAGCACTAATATACTAATACTAGCGACTCACCCTCGCTTCGCTGGGGTTCGTTCCTAGTTACGTTTATCGTTTAGTATCGATTTCCCAGCAAAAAAAAGTATCCTATATGCTGACTCGAATAACCAGCTATCATCATACTTAATTTGATTAAAATCTGTCCAGTAGTTTTTTCGTGATGTGTTCCTAGACAGACAGACAGACAAAAAGTCTAAAAACCATAGATTCGTCCTCTATATATAACCATTTTAATATATTTACTTACATATTTATCTATACATATTATTATAATAAAATTCCAACTTTTAAAGTCGAATTTGTACATTAAATATTTGTTGAAAATCTTATTGAAATATTAGTCATTATTATCGATACAAGAGTGTATCGATAATAATGACTATTTCAATATTTTTTTGTTTTTTTGTTTGTATCGAATAGGCTCCGAAACTACTGAATCGATTTAGATGAAATTTGGTAAGAAGATAGTTTGAGACCCTGGGACGAATATAGGATAGTTTCCGGGATAAATCCCGGAAATCATCTATTAAGGGGGTGAAAGTTTTTATGGGGAAGCAACCTAGGGACGAACCCGAGCGAAGCGAGGCTGAGTCGCTAGTGTATAGATAAATAAATAAATATTAAGGCCCGTTCTACCTAATGAAACCTAACGGAACCTGGGATAGGTCTTAATGGGTCGTCATATGAAGGTATACTTAAATCAAATATCTTGTAATGTCAAACCAATCACCCAATGTTAAGCTCATGTAGTTCTTTGGAAGAGTGCTTTGGATAGGAAGTATAATATCGAGATGTACAAAGAATAATTTTGTAACTCAGTATTGAGATAATTAAAAATAGCTTTAATTTTTTCTTATATGAGAAATTCATGTTTTATAATATCGGGTTACAAAGATGTTCTTTTCAGATCGATACACAGTATCACAACGGCGATTCACAAGATTGTCTATTTTTTTCCGTCAAAACAAGATAAATACTCGTACATCGTTGTTGAAGTAGGGAGATCTAACACATAGTGAAAAGTGTAAAGGAAATTCTTGTATGTTTATTTGTTTGTTCTTATTAAACTTAAAAATGATTTTGAAATATAATTTTTCGCGTATTATTTTAATTTTGAATTAATGGGAGGTTCAAGGGGTTTGAAATTACACCTGTCGTAGCCATTAAAGTTAACAATCTATACATGATGTCTACCCACAAAATTATACACAATGGTAATAAAAACAGTAATGGCACGACTTACTATATAAATGTATTTTTTTTTAATTTTGTCTAAAAATACTTTTATTTCAATATCAAATTGACAACAAGTTTGGCTCTGTTTGTGACCCTACTTGCTGTGCCAGCGGTTGCGGGTTCGAATCCGGCTGGGGGCATTCATTTGTATGACGAGGAATGAATGTTTGTACTCCAGTCATAGGTTTATATTTTAATAATATGCATGGATTCAAAGTAATATATATATATATATATATATATATATATATATATATATATATATGTAGTGTATCACCTATTTGGTATCCATAACACAAGCCTCTTAACTTACCAAGGAACAAGATCGTGCTGTGTGTTAATGTTCCAAAAAAAAAAGTTTTTTTATACTCTTAAATGATTTTAATGCTCTATAACGGATAGGCAGACATTTATCTTCCTGCAAAGTATTCTATATTCTACAAGTATTTTCTTAGGCCAGACCTCGAACCCGCGACTTCCGGTATATAACTGATATTTCAACCACTACGTTACTATTAGTTACCATTTCGCGTGATAAGTTTGCATGTCTATTGTTGCACAGAACAGGTTATTGTGCATTGAAGCATTATATTCATCTAAATGTTATCTAATGATGCTTCGTATAAGAAGCTATTACTGCTGCAACATAAACTTGAATAAATTTCTTAGAAAATTATAGAATAAAAAAACAGAGTTAACATTTCTTACTTTAAATGTACGTTGAATCTCAGATAAAATTTAAAAGAATTCTATTTAAAAGAATTCAAAAAAAATCTTTTAAAACTACAGCTTTGTATAACATGCAAGGAACGACAAATGCTCTAATGGCTTAATTGAGTGAATCAGTATTAATACCTTTCCTTGAGTTAATAAACGTAATCTAGTTAGTGACGCCAGGGCTTACTTTTGTGGAGTTAAAATATAAGTTAGATATCACAATGTTTTTTAATCAGCAACCAATGGGCAAAAGTCTTAATATTAATATAAAATACTAGCGAATCACCCTCGCCTTGCTTCGGGTTCTCTTCTCTAGAAAAAAAAACTATCCCACGGGAATTGTATGTTTTTCCGGGTTAAAAAGCAGATTATCTACTTTTCCAGACCATATTCTATCTCTGTGCCAAATTTCATCCAGATCGGTTCAGCTATTCTAGTATGAAAGAGTAACAAACGTCCATCCATCCATTCTCACTTTTCACATTTATAACATTAGTATGGATATATAATCGTAAGTTACGAGCGGGCATCGGTTGTCCTTTACTGGTATTTCTTGTTGTTTTTTATTAAAAATATTTTATATAAACAGCGCCATCTTTTGGTAAATTTTATTACTAATATTAGACTATGTGTTACTTGAGGTTTCAGTTTCATCCAAATATAATTATGCGATCAGCTGGGGTCAATATTTTTTGAAATATTTATGGGTGGTATACTATTCTTGAGGTATGTCTATACATTAAAAGAAATATCTTGCAAATCACTTTTCAATTATTGGCGAAGCTGTCACGTAACATACATACAAAAATACATATATAATTATTATATTAGACGTCGATTAACGTGCGTTCACCTTGTCGTGGTGGGGGGGCTCAGTAGTGCCCAGCAATATAGCCGGGCACGAAGCCAAAAAACGCACAGGTAGGTGGCGCACTTCGGTGGGCGGTGGGAGGTGGCCCTCTCCGGGGTCGGTGTACCATGCGGGTTGCTCCTGGTACTTCTCTGATAGCAGAGTGAACCTTGGAGCAACCCCATGGTTGTTGTGGTCTGCTTCGGCAGACCTGCCGTCGGGGCGTCGTAGTTGAATGCGTAAGCGATCCTGCGACGCCCCATTAAGACGGTGGAAGGTTTTGTTGGGTTTTAGTGGGTAGTACTGGCTTCGCCGGTGAGTCCCACACGTCGTGCGTAAATGCATTTCCCAACGTTAAACAAAAGACGTCGATCAAAATGAATTTACTAAATAGCACGTTTTTTCAATCGGTTCAGTATATTCACAGATATACCTTTAATTTGCTTAAGCTTTTCCGTTTTCTATATAAAGCAGAGGTCATGATTATTGATTGCTGAATAAATAGACACTCGGTCAAAGATTTAAAATAATTATAGATGGAATAACAAAATAGGTTAATTTTTAGTTAACGTATTAGTCAATGTATGAGATTCATCAATATGAATCAAATATGCCATTTAAGAGTTCCGTTATACAGCTCCTGGTTCCATCATCAGATCAGCTCGAAAGGATCAAATATATCTTCTGGATTTTAATATGTTAATTGTTAATTAATACTTATTAATTAATTTTAAGTGTGTTCGTGCACTATATATATATATATATATATATATATATATATATATATATATATATATATATATATATATATATATATATAAATAATGAACAGAGTATACATACTTATATGGTCAATATCAATACCGCCACCCAATAAAGTTGGTAATCTTCAATTCAATTTAATTTTCTTGTTAATGGCTTCAAAGTAGGTTTTTTCTAATACGACAAAGACAACAAGTTCGACAGTTCGATATGTTTGACAAGTAAATGTTAAAAAAACCAAGCCGTTAAAAGGTAAAAAAATAATAATGGATGGAGAGTAAGAAGAGCTTGTCTATATTCATTTCTCTTTTATTTTTGTTCTTTCTTTTTTGCATTACTTGGTTATTTGCATACGTCAAATCTATCTACATATATAAATAAAAAGGTCTGTTCGTTGGTCACATAATTTGAGAACGGCTGGACTAATTTGGCTACTCATTTTATTTTGATTTGATGTTTTAGAAAAAAAATTGAAAAGGTTTCCCAAATTATTGGGAAATTTAGCAAAAACCGAGTATGCTCTTTTCTATAAGTTTTTAGTATGAACTTAAAGTTCACAAACAAATTTATTGAAGTTTATCAGGACAAAGTCTATCGGGTAAGATATATAATACGTATAGTGTATATGTATATGTTATATAAAAATATAACCTATTTCATTACCACTCCTAGTACGAGAGCATAATTAATATAGTTTAATAAAATTATTAAAAAAGTGTATGGTGCAGTGGCGTATTGCCTTCTTTTACTAGGCAGTACAGGTTCGATCAAAATATAAGACAAAATAAACAAATTCTTTTAATATAAAGTATATAATTATATGTATATATATATGTATATATATATACATATATATATATATACATATAATTATATACTTTGTGTTTCTAGTATAAACGGTCATATGACCTTTGTACGAGTATAAGAAATACTGCTTTAATTAAATTTAGAGGCAGTCTATTCATTCTAGTATATTTATATCTAAAATCTTATCTTTTATAAAACCAATCTATCCCACGGGAACCATACATTTTCTTGGATAAAAAGTAGCCTACGTGTTATATTGATGTATGAGCTATATTGTTGTTTAGTTTCATTAAAATCCATTCAGTAGTTATTGCGTGAAAGCGTAATAAACATCCATACATCCTCAGAAACTTTTGAATTTATAATGTTAGTAGGATAGTAGAATAATAAGTACTCGAAAATGAAAAATAAAGTATATACCATATTTGAGACGTAAATAATATTTTTGTTTAATGCTAAAAAGTTTGAATTTGTTTTTATATCATTAATTTAATTATATAATATAAAATCATAATCACAATAACTAATAAATAATATTGAACCTAATACAAGAGCAAGAGATGGGAGGGATGAAACACTATTTCTATACTACTATACTCTACTTGTTAAGAAAAATATGTACAGAAGAACAATCATATTTTATGTAAAATAATTTAAAAAGCTTACTTAAATCCTTAGAATCACTTAAATTATCACAAAACACACAAACCGAAATACACGTGCAATTCAATGTTACATATAACGGTAACAGAATAATGTAACTAATTTAATTACATCTAATTATATTAGAATAAGCCTCTACACATATTATACTTGCTTACACTTGCACTATGAAAAAAACACTAACAAATTTTGTTCTTGACTATATACACTACATGATCATCACAAGTATAGTCTATGGTATATAACTAGTTATAGAGTCAAGGACAAAATATTTTTTTTAAATATATTTTTTTTTATTTTTTTTTTATTACCAGTGATATAAGCAACCGATCTTGAGTGCCACTCGTACTGTAATACGAGCCTAGTATGATTTCCACGCTCCATTTGAGTGAGAATACGTTATGCATAAACCAACCAACAATATTTAATTGGTAACTCGATATTTTAATTAGGATGCTAATTACGTTCTTTCTTAGAAATTCAGATATAATTAATTATACTTGACCTAATTTGTGAAGAAGCGATTGTTTTAAAGAAAATGTTTGAGATATTCATGAGGAATTTTAATTAAATTTTTTTAATATAGTGTTTTATCACTGGCGTTTTAGAGTTTATATTGACTTAGATAGCATTTGCAGAAATTAATATGTAAATAAATTATAATATACAGTTGTATGGTGTTTATTCAGTACTAGCATTGCCCGCGGCTCTGCCCGCATTCAGATGACCAAAAACAAATTCTTAGGTTTTACATATTAGTATACTCTTACAATGCCGTTTTTTGTATTTTTTCTTCTGAAATGAGATATTTTCCTGCGGTAAAAAATTTCCTATATGTTGACCCGGATAACCAGCTATCACCATACCCAAAATCCCTCCAGTGGTTTTTCTGTAATGCAGTAACAGACAGACAGTCAGACAAAAATTCTAAAAACTATAGATTCGGCCTCTGTATCGATAATAATGTTTAATTCAATAAGATTTTTCAAAAAATATATTTAATTTACAGATTCAGCTTAGTTACAATTTTATTATATTATGTATAGATGTGAATATTTTGTGTGTATATTTGTAACTCTTTCACGCTAAAACGGCTTAACAAATGTGGGTAAAATTTACTTCCCAGATAGATCACAGCGTGGAGTAACACTTAGGCTATTGTCAGTCATCTAGAGATGGACCTGAGCGAATCACGGGTATATTGCTCGTATTTTAAGAATCATAGAGGACGTTACATAACATCGTCCACAAGGGCCCTGCACACTAACACGCGACACACACTAGAGCAGTCTACACACGAGTGCATATTGACCGTTTAATATCTATGAGTATGAGTAAGGCAAAACGAACGTCTCCAGTTGTTAACGACTTTTACTTATGTATATATATTATGTATGTAAATAAAAAATAAATAAATAATACGTCCACATTTTAATAATAAAAATGATTAAAATTATAAAAAATCTTTAAAATTAAAAAATATTGTAAGGTCCTTTGGCTGCATTTTCGTATTTTTGATAACGTTTTGTAATTCTACGCTTATAAATTATTACTAAAAGAAGAAAACTGTCATTGGCTTTATTTTAGTACACATTGTTTTTACATTTATTTGTCTCATGTAATGCTGTTGTTTTCTCAATAAATAAATAAATATTTATTTGACCGACATTGAAAAGGAGAACTTAACTTTTTTTGTCTAATCAAAAAAAAATCTCTTTTGTTATGTTATCACAATCTATCTTTCTTGTCTTTTAATACATATTTAACAAATATCCTTGGACTTTTGCCATTTATTAAAATTATCTATCAAAATAATAAATACCCATATATCGAATCAACATATCAAATATGTAAATTAGATTGAATGTAGTGGAAACAAACCCAATCCACCATACCGGTGGTCGCTGCAACACAAATGTATAATTTATATGGTGTCTGTACCAGTACAGGTGCAAAATTGTATAAATTTCCCATAATATCAGCTGTTCTACTTCTGCACACGCGATGCGATAATTTTTAAGTAAAGTGAAAAAATCTATGATAAAATAGTTGGGCGTTAGTTTAGTGTATGTATGTATGTATTCAACCCTTTTTAACATCCCACTGCTGGGCACAGGCCTCCCTTTAACACGAGAGGGATAGTTTAGTGTATATTTGCAATATTTAAAATAGTTGTTTATTGAATAAATTATGAACTTCACGATCTCATCTCGAACTTCAGAAATCTAAAATGTAAACAATTATAATTTATTGAGGCATTATTAACAGTTTTCTGCCTTCTTGACCGTTTTCGGTCACGACAACCAAATTTACTGAGACTAGCTGCATAGGAGATATTATAAGTCCTTTCACTAAAGTCAAAGATAGAATCATTTCCATGTTCTCCGAGGTATTGGAGTGTAACACCAGCAATTTTTTATCTCCGGACTGTTTTCTAACAGAAATTCTTAATAAAAAATCCCAATAACTTACTAATATATCCCGACCTGAATCCGACCTAGGACCTCTGGATCTGCAGCAGTACGTGCTATCCACTAAAACAACGAGGCATATATGTGTAATAATTATTTCTTTTATTCCTCTTCATTTCTTAGCGGAGTGATGTTTATAGCTTTTATTGCTTATTAGCGTCCGGTAATCCAGGCACTGGGACAAGGTGGGTTACTCCAAATATTTCTTCGATAGCAGAGTTAACACTAGGAGCAACCTCCTGGTTGTTGTCTACCTGTGCAGCTCGCCGTCGGGGTGTCGTGGTACGTACGTAAATGATGAAAAAAAGTGATAGCGCGCTTGCTTTGGAAACGTGAAGCGAGTTCAAATCGTGGATCTTGCACCTCTGATGTTCGAATCAATTTTAACACTATTACCCCTCCTCTTACGGTGGAGGAAACTATCGCGAGAAAAACTGTATGTTTAAGAGAACTTAACTATTTTTCGAAAGACATGTAAAGTCCGTCAAGGCGTACTTGGCTAACGCGGTAAACCTGTTCTCGCGACCTTAAATGCGGGGGAGGCCCGTGCTCAGCAGTGGTCATGTTAAAAAAGTCTTAATGATAAAAGACTGTTCAATTTTAGTGCTTTATTAACTGTAGTCATTTATTTTGAATAAATCTCAAATACTTATAATTACTTATTAATATTATAAATGCGAAAGTTTGGATGGATGTTTGTTACTCAATCACGCATGAATGACTGGACGGATCTGGATGAAATTTGGCACAAAGATAGATTATAGTTTGGAATAGCACATAAATTACTTTTTATCCCGGAAAAATGTACAGTTCCTGTGGGATAGATTTGTTTTTGTTCGTCGTTAGGAATGAATCCGAGCGAAGTGAGGGTGAGTTGCTAGTTACATATAAAATGGAGCTTTTAATAATTAATAGAATGTCGTATTAAATCAATAAGTAACGTAACATGACACGGTTCCATGTGACGTCTTGTCCCTATTGTGTGGTACCCTTGTCGTAGTTGGCAGTTGAACAATTATTGTCAGGCCAATTGTGTTTGTAGGGGTGTATCTAGTGATGAATTATTCCTTGCTATCTTCAAAATACTATAAACGCAAAAGTTGGTGAGGACATGATGGATGGATGTTTGTTACTATTTCGCGCAAAAATTACTGAATGGATTTTGATGAAAATTTACAGTAATATAGCTTATGTATCAAGGTAATTTACAGGGTATAATTTTGAAGATATTGTAATACATAATTGAACTACGTGTATGGAGCCGCGGGAAAATGTTTGATTGGTTTTAACAAAAAACTGACTCAAGTAGATCTACATACATACATATAAATCGGACTGCTATTGCTAAAGTTTGTATGTGTGTACGTTTTATACTTCGTTACTTCTTCACAATGAAACTTCTGAGTGGATTTGGGTGAATTTTAGTACATAGATAGACAATGACCTGGAGTAACATGTTTACTACTGCTGGACACCGAAAGATACACCCGAGTGACGGTAAGGCAAGTATGTAAGAATCGTTTAGTTGGTCTGTCAATAATAATTGTTTGATATCTAAACAACTAAACCAGTTGAGGTTACAATGAATTAAACTAAAGTAAGTAATTAATAATAGTAATTAATTCTAATATTACTATGAATAGGTTCAACAAAATAAATATTATAAGAACATAAAATGAATATTTTTCAAGTTGTTCAGATGTTACAGGATCATAAGCAGACTCAATTGCAATCCCCTCAATATGTGTTCACGAGGTGGCCCACGTCAATGGGCGATATGCCATATGGGTTGCTCCCGGTACTCTCTGTAAGCATAATTGGAGCAATCCCATAGGTATTGTGGTCTACTTCTGCGGACCTGCCATCGGGGCGTCGTGGTTGAGTGCGTGAGCAATCCTGCGACGCCCCATTAAGTCGGGGGAGATTCCGTTCTGTTTTAGTGGGTAGTACTGGCTTTGCCGGTGAGTCCCACATAACCACCTGTATATATGCAGTTGGTATGCCTAAATACATTTCCCAACGTAAAAAAACCCCAATGCATGTATATCAAAATTATGAAGATGTACATCAATTTCTACAACTAAGCTAGTAAAGTTTCTTAAAACCCCCTTTAAAGTGGCAATCTCAAATGTCTAACTATCAAACCGACCATTACAGCTAAAGCCTCTAACTAACGATGCAGTTAGACGTCCCGACATAAAAATCTCTTTAAGGAAGTAAGTACTGGTCTAAACGTGTCTTAAACTTGGAAAACAATAGTCTGTAAATGTTAAAGCATTTTTATAGTAGTGACCTTACCTCGGTTTACTCAATATTTTTGATTCTCTTCATGACGTATTTTAAAATTGTACGATATTTAACATACGTAATTATCGCAAGGCAAGAAGTTTACGATAAAATATAGAAAAACTGTGAAAAAGACTAAAAGTGGCTTATGTCACTGGCTTACGTGCGTGTCAAAATTATGATTAGGTAATTGAGCTTTAAGACATCGTGGTTTCAATTGTCTCCTTGATTAAGTGACTAACACGAATGCCTGCAAATCTAGAGGTTCTGGGTTCGAGTACCGGGTAGGCAAAATACCTATAGTTACTGGGTTTTCAGTTAAGGAGTTTTCAGCAATAGCCCACAATTGAAAAATTGTCATTCCAAGTCTCAGAGAGCACGTAAAAGCATCGGTTCTGCGCCTGGTATCTCATCGGTCGTATCGATTGTCATCCTGACCTGTCCACCTGACTTTAGGTGTACAAAGTATAGAGAGTGCACTTATCTGCATATATATTACACATACTTGTGCACTATATTACCTCCTGCGCAGTTGGCTAGTTGTAGTTAGTCTGGTACTAAAGATTATGAGGAAATTCATTACTCACTTCGTCTTTTGTAGCCTTCATGCTTATAAACAAGCTTTAATATGTTGAAAGCTAGACTATCACTGCTCAATATAGTCAACAAGCGACTTTCCTATATAATTATCACATTCATAATATTTTTACGTATAATATAATGGGTTTTCCTAGCGAATTAGAATTTTTTTCCACAGTAAAATGTACCTTATGCCATTAACTTAAAATCACATAATTAGTCACTCGGTTTCAGCGTGAAAGAAGAACGAACAAACAGAAAAGTAAACGTTCAAACTTAAAAAATTACGTCATTTGCTTGTATGGATTTTTATACGCCAGACTCGCGAGTTAAAAATAGTAATCTTTACGTTTACAACACGTTTGGTTGTAGTGTCCCTACTTACTATGCCAACGGTTGCAGGTTCGATTTCCGCTGGGGACATTCATTTGTCTGTTGAGCACGAATGTTTGTACTCCAGTCATAGATATTTATATTTATAATATGTATGTATTTAAAATTATATATGTGTAGTATATCTATTATCTGGTATTCATAATGCAGGCCTCGTAGCTTACCATGGAACTAGATGGTGCTGTGTGTTAATGTCCCGACATATTTTTTGATTCATATTCTATTACTATATCTTATTTTCACTTAAACGTGAAGACAGTTATAACATAGCAATTTTATTTGTCAAAACTTCCATCATCGTAAGTAACTTTTCGAATTACCTACATTTTCTTAAAGCACTCGAGCTAGTCTCGGATGTGATATACATAACTGCTCACGTCTTCTCCCAACTCCCTACTGACTAATATTTTATTTGACTGTTTTTCACTTATTTCTTTTGCATTTCATTTTTTTCGCTATTTAGCAGAATTTTTTTATTTATGTTATTAAGAATTATGTTTTATTGCACATGAAATGAAATGAAATAAACTTTATTCAAACAAACTTATTAGAAGCACTTTTGAATCGTCAATTTAAAGAGCGTCAGTGTAGTCAGTCCGTGAGGAAGCTACCACCTGCTTGGAAAGCAATTCTGATGAGAAGAGCCGGCGAGAAACTCACACAGCAAAAAATTTCTTAAGTTCTTGTTAATGGTAGCATCTTCTTTTAAATTCTATTATATAAAATTAATTATAAATTAATTTTTCGGTCTATAGATTTAGAAATGATCATCTAGGTCTTAGAATATAAATAAAAAATATTTTACGACATTAATAGACAGCACCATCTAGTTCCATGGTAAACTACGAGGCTCTAGTTATGGATACAAGATAGTTGAAGCTTTCTACACATATATAAATTTAAAATACATAATATTATAAACACCCATGACTGGAGTACAAACATTTGTGCTCATCACACAAATTAATGCCCCTAGCGGGACGCGATTGCTGGCACAGCAAGTAGGGTCACTACAAACTGAGCCAAACGTGTCATCACATAGATCAATGAATACTCAATAATTTTTAGAAACTCTTACAATTATTATTTATAAATAGTATATATATAAAGCTAATGCACCATATAGTGAAGTCCCTATTTTAGTATAATTTTTTACCTATAATAAAATACTATTATCAATGTAATGCACATATGCGAAGCAAAAGTTTAATTACATCTTTTTAAGACAAACACAATGTGCTACTA